TGGCATCCTCGGTGCTACAGGTGTCCATAGTCTACGATAACACCGTTTTCCATCAGACAGGCCATGCTTGTTTTACCATGTAAGTAATATAAAAAAGCATCATTTACACAGAATAAACGCCGTGTGGTTCCGGCACTGTTTTTTTATACCGCTGTGGCGTAATATGAGGGGGGAACTATACAGTGGACTATGGATAAATCATAATTCTGACACGAAGACAGTATAATTCACCCACGGTAAGATGACGACGGCGATATCATTGTTCAAGTTATTGGAGTTGTATGCGGCGTGAACGTCGACGGCGGACGTGTTCACGCATGCCGCCGGAGAACAGCGGGAGCCGTAAGCAGGGAGTGAAGTCGATGGCCGGTTGTAGCCGTCCCACCAGCAGTGGGCGAAGGTATTACTCGTGTTGGTTAAAGAGCAGGCACATACTGAGACTGCCCCACCATACAGATTGACGAGCACACCGCCCTGAAAAACCATTGAGGACTAGATTAAATTAATTTCTTCCTTTCCTCCATCCCATATAATGCGTGGTATACACGTAGTGGGGGTATCATGGGCGAAACATTATACTCTGTTATCCCATGTTACTGCTCATGTCTATAGGCGACGGTTACCACTTTCGATCAGGTGGGCCGTCAGCTTGTTTGCCATTCTAGGTTGTATAAAAAAAAATGAAATTGATTGGTGTAAGCTTGTAAATACGTTAATAAATAACAAACTCACATATTGGATTATCGGGACTTTTACATAGGGGCAAAGGAGCATGCGACTAACGTGATGGTAAGTGACACCGCCAGCCATGATCACCTGCAACACCAAGAGGCATCGCAGGTGTGCTGCTGGCCAAACTGCCGTTACTCTTTTTTATGCAAAAATTTAGACAGATTTGAATAAAATTTGGTACATGGATAGGTTATATCCTTACCTAGCACATGGAAAGTTGTCAGTTATGCGGACTACCATTTGATGCCAGTAGAGTATAGGAAAGGCTAAGAATGGGTCTGGTAGTCAGGTCGACCTCTCCGTGATCCTGGAAACCGTCATCGTGAATCCCAGGTGTATTCGTTACCCGGGATTCAGCACGATGTTCGACTGTCTTTCTATTTTCACCTGTCATCCTTCACTGGTGCCCCGCAAGTGTATACCGTTGGCGCGGACGGGGCTACCATTCCATAATTGTCCATAAAAAACCCCTAGCACATAGAAAACTTTTTATACTCCTTGATGCGGATGTATTTTCAGGATAGTTTACAGTACAGTAAGGGTAATAACATGACACCAAATATAATATTATACCATTGTTGGTCTCGGCATGGGCAGGTTTCCTAAGCAACTTAGCATGATAAACAAGCTGACGGCCCACTCGATGGAAAGTGGTAACCGTCGCCTGCAATACCAGGGCAATACTATGATTGTCACAGAGTACAATGTCTCGCTGATGGTACTCGGCGTTGCTATTTCCGAGGACTATGTTATGATACCTCCGTACCCTGTAACTCCACCGCCATATCCCACCCTTCAAGCCGAAATATTGCCATGCAAACTCAACTGCTTCACAATAGAAATACAAATGGGAGAACAATTTTTTTAATAAATACCTACTAATAATAGCGAAATGAAACTAAATAATAATAATGAAACCAGTAGTTTAATCGTGTGGTCCGGCATAGAATAGGCCACCCCTTCCTTTCCCGTGGGTGTCTTTTTTTTATGGGTTATAATGGAGTGGTAACCCGCACTATCGGTATACACCGGCGGGCACCAGTGAAGGATGATAAGTGAGAATGAAGCAGGTCAGTTAGCCCATCGTGACGAATTCAACAAGAATTGTTCACGATGGTTTCCACTATATTTCATTTCGCATAAAACAAATGACGATTTAAAAGTAATTTAAAAGATTTGGATTTGATATCTTTTAATTTACCAGATAATATATCGTGTTTCACTCACCAAATGGGGATGGTCCCCGAGTCCAGCCCGCCACCCCCCCACAACCCTGGCTCCGTCGAAGTCGCCAGCCTCCTCTGCCCGCTTGATGCTTGTCGCTAGAGGGATGCCGTAGTCCTCGTGGTAGTTCAGAGCTATCTGCTCCTCAGCCAGCGCCGAGCACACCACACCTACTGCAAAGATCAACAGTCTCATTTCGATGTTGACAAGTTTGTGAATAGAATTTGTTTTCTTTTTTTTTATAAATAATATACTTATCGGAACTATCTTTATAGATAAATTCATATTAATTAAAATATATAAAAGATAAAAATAATTATCCATTTTAATTAAATTTGATTAAGTATTATTTATAATAATAATAACAATAATAGTTTATTCAGCTAACATTGTTGCACTTTACCAGAGGTAGACTTTGTATACCTAAAAGTTTTTTGTTGGGCACCTCTATACCATTCATGTTTCAACCGTGAAGCAGTTGTGTTTGCATGGCTGTTTCGGTTGGAAGGGTGAGATATGGCAGTGAATTTACTGGGTATAGAGGAATAACACTCAGTCCTTAAGAATCACATCGCATAGGAGGTATCATGGGCGAAACAGTACACTCTGTTATGTCCATGGTACTGCTCATGTGTATAGGCGACGGTTACCACTTACCATCAGGTGGGCCGTTAGCTTGTTTGCCATTCTAAGTTGTATAAAAAAAAAATTTACATTATATATAATAAAAATGATAGAAACGTCAAATAAAATTACAATTTAAATTTCAAACTAAGCCAATGTCACAGCATTAATATATACATTTATAGCTTACAAAAATTAATTAATATTGTAAAATTTATTTTCTTTTTACTTTATTTACTTTTAACGGCAATTCTCTTATTTTTTTTTTTATTCTATTATAAATTCGAATAGCCATTACACCGCAGTTTCGTCGATGCAGCGTTGACCTACAGGTGGGTAGTTTCAAGTGGATTGGCAACCAGCATTAAGCTTTAGTGATGTTTTAAGAGAGACGCTGTCGCCCATCCCTTGCTTTCCCTTATTCGCCTCTTACGACAGCCATGGGAAAGGAATAGGTTGCCCATTCTATGCAGGAACCATACGGCAACAATAACAATTGTATAATCTAGTCAAAGAAAAAGTCTGTGGAAATGGTGCAAGTATTTTTTCACTTATAATGATGCCCATTGTTTTCTCACTGTGATTATTTCTTGTAATTATTTATATTTATAATAAGTTTACTATTGTAATCTTTTGGAGGAAACAATAAAGAGTATCTATCTATCTATCTATAAACAAGAATACCACCAAGTGCCAACAGCAATAACAGGATGGTATGGCAGTATTTGATACATCTTCTGCCCAAATCCACAATGATGCTTCATTGGTGCAAGAACTGAACTCTTCTATATCAGGATACATCAATTAAATACAGTTTAATTGAAAATATTTATTAAAATTATCAAAAATAACAGCAGGTAATCTTCATCAGAGATGATTTGGAACTGATTATATAGAAAACAGCTATATTATACGGATATCATATTATATCCCAGGCTTTTTTAATTAATGGATGATAATGGAATGGTAACCTGGCCTGCACTATCGGTATATGCTAGCCTGGGGTACCAGTGAACAATGATGAGTGAGATGACGTCAGGTCAGTTGGCACATTGTGAATTGCCTTTTTTATACAACTTAGAATGGCAAACAAGCTGACGGCCCACCTGATGGAAAGTGATAACCGTCGCCTATAGGTATGAGCAGTACCATGGACAAAACAGAGTATACTGTTTCGCCCATGATACCCCCCATGCGTTGCCATTCCTGAGTACTCAAGTGTTATTCCTCTGTACCCAGTAAATGCCTAAGTTAATACCAAGGATGAACCGCGTGGAGGTCACTCTGACAACATGTTGCTAATAACTGAGCGGCTAGTTAGTAACAATTCAGGGCTCCAGGTTATAGGGATCAGACATTCCAATTAATAAAGCTGTTCACTGCATAAACAGTTGCTATCAGGTCCGTTAAGTATCGGCGTTCAGAGTCGAGCCTGGATCCAAGATATGAAGGAGGTGACGCGTGCGAACCCTGCTGGTAGACCGGACTGGCAGCCGCGGGCGGCCACAAATGACGTCACACCGATCTGAAATTAACAGAGTGAGACTTTTTAAAGAAGTTCTTATGTAGACCTCTTGCAGGGGTATGGAGACGACTTGTGTTTCCAACGAGTGTGACTTCTGTGTAGGGCTGCCATCACCTAAACTGCCGACATCGGATAAACACGGCAAAAATCCCGGACATTTGGGCGAAATATGGTTTTTCCCCGGACACTATTTTGCCGAGCCTTCTTGAATGCGGGTTATTGTGGATGAATTTGTAACTAAAATTTATTTCAATTGATCGCCTACCCTACTACCTAACATATTTGAATGAAATCTGGTACATGGACAAATAATATCTTAGCTTAGCACGTAAAATCTCGTACTGTTTCGTGCGAGTGTCTCATATTCAAGAAAACAAGTGTTCCATATTGTGGAAAGCGTACCTATAGATCCGTTTATCCCTTATGTACGACAATGGAGTAGAAGTAGAAGAAGACCAGAGGAAGACTTTGTACAAAAGTCGATTGCTTGGGAACCTCTGTCCCATTCGTGTTTCAACCGTGAAGCAGTTGTGTTTGCATGGCTGTGTTTCGGTTTGAAGGGTGAGATATGGCGTGAATTTACTGAGTACAGAGGAAAACACCTGAGTCCTCAGGAATGGCAACGTATGGGGGTATCATGGGCTAAACAGTATACTCTGTTATGTCGATGGTACTGCTCATATCTATAGGCGACGGTTACTACTTTTCATCGGGTGGACCGTCAGCTTGTTTGCCATTTTAAGTTGTATAAAAAAAAGACTTACTAGGACACGTTGGTTGTTATTCCACAGCCAGAGTGGGCCGCCGGAGTCGCCCTGGCAGGTGCCCTGCAGTGCGGTACCGCTGGTGCACAGCGTGGAGCCCACCACCGTGCTGGTGCCGTAAGTGTTCGCGCACACCGCATTGGTGATGACAGTCAGCTGCACGTGGCTCAGGTATTGGCCGTTCACGATCTGCTGAGCTGATGAATAGAATGTCTACGTTTAAAAACAATCTTTTAAAATGTAATCCGCTATATTATGGTAGCAAGTAGACAATTTATAAAAGTCATCATCTTGCCCTTATTTCAATGATTTAGGGTGGGCGTAATATGTTTTTATCCATATTACTCAAAATTTTGGCTTAAAAAAAGACTGGCTGACAGCTTGACGCCAACTCTCCTCGGGAATGCATCTTTTAGAGATATTTCGTCTCGATACGCCATATATAAGTGGTATATTTCATTTGTTTTCCTACTTCTAAAATCCACGCGGGCGAAATAGCGGCCAATAAGCTAGTTGTTCAAGATCAAGATTATAGGAATATTAATAAAAAGTAAAATTCTTCGCACTCGCAATATTAGAACCATAGAATATCTCCATCCTTCTCTAGCACCACATTTCATATATATATATATATATATATATATATATATATATATATATATATATATATATATATATCTAGCAATCGTTTAGAACAAGTTTTGCTTCATGTAAAACTAGATGGCGTCGTATTATATGTTTAGTGGTATTTATAAAAAAATATAATAAATTTGCCGTGTAGTCCTGGCATAGAATGGATCACTCCTTTAGGCGACTAAAAAAACGTAACGGTCGAGAGATGGGCAGTAGCGTCCCTCTTAAAACATTACCAAAAGTTCAACTGCGGTTGCCAACTCGCCTGCCAAGCGGGGCATCTACCGGCTCAGCAGTTGACAGTATGTTCAGCAGTGGACAGTTCACAGCTGATGTGACAAATAATAAATCTGTGTGTACTTACAGTCCCACCTGCGTCCGTAGCCAGCTGCCCAGGCTGCGGTCCCCGCGAAGTTGTTGTTCACCTGGTTAACTGGCAGACTGACCGGCTGGACATTGTCTGTGGAGTTTTAATACATGATAATGGTAACCCCGCCTTTGCACTCAGGATACATCAACGGGACACCAGTGAGTATAGGTAGAAGACGAAAGCAAGTTGACACATAGTGATGAATTTCACAAGAATTAACCACGATGGGTTCCAAAGTGGATAGCGCGAAGGTTATTAAAAGCAATGGTGCTTTTAAACCCCATTACAAACATACCCTTTCCCCCTATATGTGGGGTTTGTATCATTATATCTTTGGGACTGAGAGAAAATCTCGACATTTGTCTTAACTGGCTGCGTTTCGGTTTTAAAGGTGGGATATGGCAGTGAAATTACAGAGTACAGAGGCATAACACCTTAGTCCTCGGGAACGTCAACAGGGCTGTTCAGGTCTTCAAGCTACAGATGGCACTTTCCATCAGGCGAGCCGTCAGCTTGTTTGGCATTCTAAGGTAGGTATATAAAGAAATTATACGTACTGTTATAGTTTATCCAGGGCAGATTAATGATAGCCACATCGTTGTTAAGGTTATTGGTGTTGTAGCTGGAGTGGAGCACCACAGACGAGGTCACCACCCGGGTGCCGCCAGAGAACAGCATCAGGGAGCCGAGAACGACGGTGAACTGGCGCGCCTGGTTTTGCCCGTCCCACCAGCAGTGCGCCGCGGTGAGGCCTCGTGTGTTGGTCAGAGAGAGGAGCCGCACACTGAGGTCGCACCGCTGGTTAACGTGATGAGCAGACCGCCCTGTTGTATGAGAATACAGTAACAAGACTGGTTAGAAACAAGCTTTTATCCGCCATCTTGTGATTGAGATCATTTTAAAATGATGTCCAACAAAGTTGACAAAATATGGGTCATTCATGTTATTTTAAAAATATTACAATGTTGAATAACCCATAAAGTCATCACACATCGTCACAGAAATGAGGATGCTTCACTGGTCTAGTCGAAGTGTCAAGAATAGATAATATTAAAATCGAGTACATCTGTGGCACTTTCAAGGGTTCTAGTGTACTAGAAAAGTTAAGAGAAAACCGCGTGAAAAATGAAATTTCAACTCAATTAAATGTCAAGAATTTGTTCTAATTTAGCTTACAACTAACATATTGCATTTCAGGTTAAATAAAAGCTAGAAAAAACATTCAATTGAACAAAGTTAACAACGTAGAAACTGAGACGTACCAGAGGGAGACTTTGTACAAAAGTCGATTGCTTGGGTACCTCTGTCCCATTCGTGTTTCAACCGTGAAGCAGTTGTGTTTACATGGCTGTGTTTCGGTTTTGAAGGGTGGGATATGGCGTGAATTTACTGGGTACAGAGGAATAACACCTGAGTCCTCAGGAATGGCAACGCATGGGGGGTATCATGGGCGAAACAGTATACTCTGTTATGTCCATGGTACTGCTCATGTCTATAGGCGACG